CATTTGCACATACATTTTCTTTAATTTGGAAATGAAACAGGTGTCATCATCCTCACTCTCCTTGTGCCAGCCGGTGACCCCCAGCGACCACTGTTGTTCCCCCATGGGGTACTTTTGAAGACTGCAGTGGGATGAAACATAGAGCACTGATGAAGCTCTGGGTAAATGGGAGCTCTGGTTCTCAGTTCCTGACAGCAGGGCATACTTGGAAACGATCTTTCTGGAGGTCAGTATCGGAATACAGATAAAATTTTTAAAAATCATTTATTTATTTTTATTTATTTATTTGGCTGCATTGCATCTTCGTTCCTACCTGCAGGCTTTCTCTAGTTGCGGCGGGCGGGGGCTACTCTTCCTTGCGGTGCGCGGGCTTCTCATTGCAGTGGCTTCTCTTGTTTCGAAGCATGGTCTCTAGGTGCACGGGTTTCAGTAGTTGCGGCACGCGGGCTCAGTAGTTGTGGCTCGTGGGCTCTAGAGCGCAGGCTCAGTAGTTGTGGTGCATGGGCTTAGCTGCTCCGCGGCATGTGGGATCTTCCCGGACCAGGGCTTGAACCCGTGTCCGCTGCACTGGCAGGCAGATTCTTAACAACCACACCACCAGGGAAGTCCCTAGATCAAAATTTAAAACACAGTTCTTACTAGCTATGATCTCACATATACTTAACCTCTCTGTGATTCAGTTTCCACACCTGGAAACGGGACTAATAGTGACTGTTTTAAAGATGGCTGTGAGGATTAAATTAATTAATAAACGGAAAGCACCTTAGACAATGCCTGGGACCTAGTAAGTGCTTGATTAATATTATCATGGTTATTTGACCTAGTGATTCTACTTTTCCGATTCTAATTCCAATTTTCAGTTTTATGATTCCTCAAGTGCCTCACAATACATGCACGAGGCTGTGTGTTGCAGCAGTATTTGTAACAGCAAAGGATCAGCAACCGCCTAAACAGCTACCATAGGGGAGGGAACAATATACTACAGATCATCCAGACAACAGAGTCTTTGCAGCTGTTAAAAAAGAATGTCTTCATTTAGACTGATGTCCAAGATGTCCCTAAAGTTAAAAAAAGGAGGTGATGAAATAATATTCAGAGTGTTATCTCATTTTTGTTTAAAAAATATTGTCGGGATATGCAAAAAAAATTCTAAGAGAATTTTCACAGAATGCTGATTTCTGGGGAAAGGGATTTACTTTGACATTCACATTTCAATATTTTTACGATAAGACTATATGGTTTTTATAATCTAAAAATAGTAATATAATAATAAAGAGACATTGAAATGCAGATGGCCGTCATTGCCCTCCTCAGAGGAGGCAGAGGCTGAGCTTCTAGGAAGTGGTGGGAACGGACCAGGCAAGAGCCTGGCTCTGGAAAGGGGGAGAGCCGGGCTCCAGGGGTCAAATTCCACTGCAGTGACCTGGAAAGGGCTGTCGCATATTTTGCAAAAGGAACGTCAGCTCATCAAGTGTGACTTTGACCTCGGAGATCCGAGGGCCAGCCCAGGAGACACTTGCTATTCAGAGGTGCAGGAATGGGACATGCAGTGCCCTGTGTCAGCCAGCTCTGGCCACCTAGAGAGACCTCCGGGCTGCTCAGACCAGGGAGACCCTGGGCTCAGAACTGGCAGACCAGGTTCCTCCACTTTGGGATGTGGCTGCTTCAGGGTGGGAGAGGAAAGAGCAGACAGCGGGACAGAGGGCCAAGGTGGTCACAATCCTCCTTTCCTTCCCTCTCCCTCGGACATTCCTTCCCCTGCAACCATTCAGAATCCACTAGACGGCACAGAGCTGTCCAGGTCATAGGCATAACTAGAGTGAGAGTTACTGTGGGCTTTCTGTGGGCAAGCACTGTGTGCTAAGCACTTTTTAAGGCTCATTTTATTTCCTCTCCTGAACAAGTCTGTGGGTTAGGTTATTATCTCCCTTTACACAGTCAAGAACCTGAGGCTCAGAGACTTGAATAATTTATCCCAAACCACAGACATTGTAAACTGCGGAATTTACAAATTTGTAATGTGTACATCTATTTGTACATATTACAATTTTGACTACTTGTAAAAGCTGGAATTTAAACTCATATGTTGAAACCATCACACACACACACACACACACACACACACACACACACACACACAAACATGATGAATAAACCAACCAATATCCAAGAATGTCATTGCTGGAAAGTTCTCTAGAGATTCATTTCATTGTCCGACAAATATCGATCGAACATCTTCTACATACAACGCACTGCTCACCTGTTCTAGTCCTGAGATGCCTGCTAGTACTGTGAACAGTCCCTGACTCCTAAAAGGACTTCATCCACTGTTTTTGAATGAATGAATGA